GGGGGGGGGGGGTGGGGTCGGGAAATCTCCCCCTACCCCCATAAGACAATCCCGCACAGCAAAAACTGCTGATAGTGCAAGGGGAGCCATGCGAAAAAAAAAGTCGAGCAAGTGCTTTGTACTGACCAGGTGTTCGAATTTTAAAACGTTCTGGCAAAAGCTATTGCCCACCCAAAAGAATCATGCACAAAGGTGAGGAAAAATTTCATGGCCCCTCAAGAAAGTAATGGTCCAACCCTTATAGTATATGCGGAAGATTTTCCTAGGTTCATTAAATGTCTCACTTTTCACTTACCACATCACACATCACACATCACACATCACACATCACACATCACACATCACACTTGGTAATTCACACACTGGCAGTTACAGTGACAAATCTTTGTCGCATTTAAAGAGCTTTCTATCTTCACTTAATTATTTTTAACCAGCAGGAGGTTCACATGATAAGAAGTATTTTCGTTATAACATTTTATCAATAATACATGTTCGTGAAAAGTGGAAATATTAAAAAAGGAAAAACAACGAAAACGCAGGAAATGCTTCAACAAAAGCAAACAAAGAAAAGTGAACAAAAAAGCGAAAACGTAGGCAAAACATCGTGCACTGGTGGGTGGGTACCCTGTGTCGTTGCTTACATCTTCTTAGCATCAGCTTCGTCTATCAGGACTCGTCCAAGCTCCATGAGACCCCTGGCAACCTTTAATGGAATAAAAACGTCATTTAAATTCAGTTGTGTTCAGTTTATCAATTTTCTCAGCTAGTTTTGTAGTTATCTTAGTTTTGTACATACTGTTCTGATTCAGTCTACGAATTTCTCAGTATGTGTTGCCTAGTACATGGATAACGCGTTCTGTTCCGGTCTTACATGTAAGTGACCCTTTCCTTTGCAATAGACCTTTTTCGCTTGGACGGTTTGTTGTCCCATTACCGACCACGTGATATTCTCTAGAGAATAGTTCTTTTATCCATCTAAACATTGCTTATTCATATGCACACGACTATTTGAAAATTTGAAAGGAGGAATTCTCAAGAGAATTATCACGTGGTCTGAAATGGGGCAACAAACCGCCCAGTCGAAAAAGGTCTATTTGTATCTGCATGTAGTGCCTTCTGACCTTGATTAGTTGCTTAACATTTATCTGACAACAATCACCACCATAGGCATGCAATACGTGCAAAGGTCAGGGACCCAATGTGCGCATCCGATTACCTTATGACAACAATCGAAATTTCCTTTGAAGAAGATTTATGGAGAAGTCCCGATCAAACCAGTAAATAAAATCATGTTCATAGTTACCTCTGCGAAATCCAGGTGTCCGTCGAGGTTTGTATCGAGTTGCTGAAACGTGTCTGCGGGATCCTCTGGAATAAAACGCTCCGCCGTTCTGTTTGCGCTGCTCTCTTCGCCGACAGGTATTTCTTCTCCGAGTGTTAACGATCGTTCAAGGCCTTGGGTCTGTGCCATGAAAATTATATCATCGCATTCCTGTTCAGTGAGAAAATCTTCGATTTCTGAGGATAAATAAATAAAAAAGAACAAGACATCATGATCGATAATTTCAAATTACCAGATCGTGTGACCATTATTTCTATACCGTTTGGTTTCTGTGTATGCTCTGATTGGCTTGAGCAAGTTTTATCACGTTAAAAGCACGGAAACCCAAACTTTATTCCTTTGCACATGTATGATGGTTGTAGTCTGTATCAGAAATCACATTACAAAGTGGCCAAAGGTAATTGTTGATAGATTTAGTCTACGAATAATAATACTGATATCAAGAGCCACGTCAACTTTCCTTAAATGTGGATCATTTCTCCCACAAGCTAACTTTCCAAGAAGTTAACTTGCTCAAATTGAAGGCAACTCCCTTACAAGTCTTTTGAACGAGAAAAACACAAATTAAACATCCCACTACTTTTTATGCATTAAGCTTCACAACCAAGACTTTTAATACGTGTTTCGATCTATGTAATGACAACTGCTAGGGAGTCTGATGCCAGTTAAGGTCACTTCACTGTGGGCCAGTTAACTTGAGGTTGAAGCGACCGACTTCAAAAAATCAGAAGCCGCAAGACATAATCACATTAATGCATGGCAACCTAACTTTATTGCCCGTATATCATTTTGAAAAAGTCCTACAACTAATTTCAATTTGGTTTCCTTTCGAAAATTCTCTTAATATCTCCATCGCGTTGTTTTAGGTGCGTTTTGTGTATAAGTGAAGGTACTTAGTCGTAATCATAGCACCGGCTAATTGGACCGAAACGGCAGCAAAACCCAGCGATCGTGCCTTTTTTGCGCCACAGCAGGAATATCATCAACATACCAAAGAGGGCCGGCCTTAAACTCAGTGTCCTCATTTTGTGCACTTTTCCTGGGACCAGCTTGAGTTCACGAACGTAACCAACCTGGTAGAAACAAAGAAAGAAAATTAAAGCAGCACTCTCTAAAAGGTGGATGAGAAAGTAAATGAAAGGAACTTCATGTTTCGATACCAGTTATATAAGTTGGATGACAATTATAGGTGAAGGATTACTAATCAACCTGATGCCCTATAGAATGGAATAGGCGAGTGCGATATGTCTTTATCCTACCCTGACCCTTAATGAATGTAAGCAGGAGAACATTTCGAATTAAAGGGGCTTTGTCACGGTAACGGCCATAAAAGAATTTGAGAATTTGATTGACACTTG